CATTAAAAAGAATTCATTTGAATCAGTTCTAATGAGATGGATGAAACTGGAGCCCATCATACAGAGTGAAGTAAGCCAGAAAGATAAAGACCAATACAGTATACTAACGCATATATAGGGAATTTAGAAAGATGGTAACGATAACCCTATATGCAAAACAGAAAAAGAGACACAGATGTACAGAACAGACTTTTGGACTCTGTGGGAGAAGGCAAGGGTGGGATGTTTTGAGAGAACAGCATCGAAACATGTATATTATCTAGGGTGAAACAGATCACCAGCCCAGGTTGGATGCATGAGACAAGTGCTCGGGCCTGGTGCACTGGAAGGCCCAGAGGAATCGGGTGGAGAGGGAGGTGGGAGGGGGGATTGGGATGGGGAATACTTGTAAATCCATGGCTGATTCATGTCAGTGTATGGCAAAAACCACTACAATATTGTAAAGTAATTAGCCTCCAACTAATAAAAATAAATGAAAAAAAAAAAGGCAAGTTTAATTTCTATCAAAATTTTAAATGTATGTACCCTTAGATTCAAGAATTTAACCTATACATAATTCGTATTACCACTACAGCATTGTAATTGACTAATTATGATAAAGCCAAAGGATAGAAAATAAAAAAGAATGAGTTTTATGAGTTGTAGAAAGACTACTGTGATGGATAGCCACATAAAAAAAGCACCTTGAAAAAGTTTGTATATCATGTTATAATTTGTGTATAAAAAGGAGGATACACACTTATATACTGAAAGAGATAGAAGAAATCAGTAATAGTTCTTCAGAGTTGGAAGTGGTACCATTTTATATACTCTTTTCAGTAACAAAAATAAAATAAGTAAGATCACTGCTTCATAGAGAATGAAATGTGTAGTCTGAATATGTCATTAGGCTCTCAACTAAACACAGTTCAAAAACAAACATTATAAAATGATTTAGAAATGCCATGACTTAGAATTATCAGCATTTCCTCTCAATGCCCTTTCCTGCTTTATAAGTTGAATGATTTACATGCTGTAGTTTAGTAAAAAGGACAAAGGATAGTTTACTACATATATTTATTGGAGAAAAAGATAAGTGCCAGGTCTAAAACTGAGGCTTGAAAATAAAAAATTTTTAAAAATCCCCAAGGCAGTACATTAATTATATCATCCATTTCCAGATTTTAATTTTCATTTCCCTTTGTGTAACTGTCAATTTAATATCCATTTTCTTCAGTGATATTTTAGCAGAACTAACCTTCAGATTATCTCTTAACAATTCCTAATATCTGTGGGTAACAGGCTGGTAAATACATATTTTTATTTTTTTATTTTATTTTTTTTAAAACACATATTTTTAAAATGTCTTAAGTTAGCAACCTACTCTTACTGCTTAAATGCTTTAATTAAATTTACCATAATTGTATTAATAAGACATCCTCTTGAAGAAGAGTTTCTCACCAAATCCTCAAATAGCAGTGAAAGTCACTCCGTCGTGTCCAACTCTTTGTGACTCCATGGACCATACAGTCCATGGGATTCTCCAGGCCACAATACTGGAGTGGGTAGCCTTTCCCTTCTCCAGGGGATCTTCCCAACCCAGGGATCGAAGCCAAGTCTCCCACATTGCAGGCGGATTCTTTACCAGCTAAGCCACCAGGGAAGCCCAAGAATATTGGGGTGGGTAGCCTATCCCTTCTCCAATGGATAGCAACGAACCTAAAGTTATTAAGCAAAGATAGCTTTCTGTTCATTAAAGCACAAATGATGTGTTTACCTGCTGACGCTAAGATGGTACAGTGCAGAGCATGTTTTAAGGCCTCTAGTCTTTCACTTTCATGCACTATTGTCTTGTAAGAGAGTTCATTGTACCTCTGTGCAGCTTCAATGAATTTTCTTCTATAATCAAGAACACGTGCATAGCATACCTATAAGAGGGAAAATGTTTCAATTAGGGGGGAAAATTTAAAAGCAAAAGAAGAGAATTTCTAACGTATAACAACAGCATTTATCAGATATTCTGGAGCACCTTAATATTGTGGGATTCTCCAATACAAAATTAATTCCAAATCAGTTTATCTGTTACCTTATAATGTATCTGTAACTGTTCATTGGTTGATTCATTCTGGAGCAACGATGCCCGATTTATGTAAGCCTCTGCCTGGACTGGATCATCGTCCTCCAGATATAGCCGAGCAATCTTCAGATAGGTCTCCAGTTTATAATCAACATTGTACTGTCTAGGCAATAAGAGGAAGACACAGAATGACTATTTCACCAAGAAAATTTTTATGGGTGGTAGAGAATAAGTTATTTTTTCCTGATATGTACACATATATTCTGTTACTATAAGGGACTCAAACTTTTTACTGCATTGGAAAAACACAGAGAAGCTAAAAAACATTTCCAAAATAAATTTTACTGAGTTTTCATTATTTTTGTCATTATTCATAGCTATTTTAGCTTCTTTTAATCCTCAGATAATCTCACAAATCAAAGATCTTTTAAAAAAAGATTTTAAAAAGCCCAGTTCAAGGACATATCATGTACCACCAAAAGAACTATGGGCATGTACTTCCATCCTGGACAACAATTTGGCAGTATGCTCTCCAACCATTCTTTGAATCCTTTAAAACGCATATACTCTTTACCTACTATATTCTACCTCTAAAAAGTAAATCCCCCCCAAAAATCATGCATGTGCACACATATACATGTACAGAATATTCATTTGTAAAGTTATTCATAAATATTCATAATAGGAAAAAATGGAAATCACCCATAGTGGTATTTATGGTAATTAATTAGGTTGTGGTACATAAAGATGACAGATACTACATAGTTATATATATATATATATAAAATTATATTCAGTGTCATTATTATAATAATTATTTCCGATAAAAGTCATGTTTTCACTAAATGAAAAAAAAGGATAAAAAAGTACATAAAAACACTATCAAAATGTATTTCTATATACATACATCAAGAGAGGAATTGTAATTATTTCTTGGAGTGATAATACAGGTAGTTTTTCTTTTTCTTCTTATCCCAAAGGTCACATTTATATGCAAGGAATGCATAACTGAAGACTTTATATAATTTAAAACACATAATTCAAGATTCACCCTCACAGAAAAGTTAATTCTACTCACCAGCAAAATTGGTGTTACCATGTGGCAAGAATAGAGTTTACAATTGACTTGATCCTAACTTTGAAACTAATTCATCAAAAAATTTTATATCAATTCAAAATTTTCCATAAGTCATATATTATTAAGTTTCTATTATCTCCATTCACAACTCATATTTACATAAATTGCTATAAACAAGACCGTATTTTTCTGCATTTTCATTTTTTATGCCAAGTATATCTATTAATCAGAATGAATCCTTTTTTAGGGAAACAAGCTCTCAATAATTTATCCAAATCACTTTAACTTGTTTAGAAAACCATAGAATTTTCAGTTCTTGGTATCCTCACAGATAATGTTACAGTCCTCTCAAAACATTAATAACCACCACTTCAAAGAACAATATCTATATTTATGTCAACTACCAATGAAAATAAATCATTTGCTCTGTACGAACAAGACATTGCTCCAGACAGAATAAGACCAAAGCAATTAAGAAAGCCCTCAGCCTTTTCAGAGGCTTCCATGGAGGTTCAGATGGTAAAGAATCTGCCTACAATGCAGGAGACCTAAGTTCGATCCGTGGGTCAGGAAGATCCCCTGGAGAAGGGAATGGCAACCCGTTTCAGTATTCTGGCCTGGAGAAGTCCATGGACAGAGGAGCCTGGCGGGCTACAGTCTATGGGGTCACAAAGAGTCAGACTCGATTGAGAAACTAACGCATTCACTTTTTCAGTCTTTTCAAACTGTCAAAGGAAAAAACCGAATTAACAAGAAGCCTTAGAAAACAAAATTCAACATCTATATATAAAAAGGCTTTTTCATATACTGACTGCTTTTTCAAGGGGCATCATTTCATGCAAAAGGCAAGATGGCTGAAGTAGTGTTTGCCTTATAACCACAAACATTAAGGAAGACAAAATAAGAATCCCTTATTCACCTGGTAAAAGAGTAGAGAAGTAACTGAAAATATTTTTTGTCATTTAGTTGGTATTTTTATAGTTGCCAACTGAAAAAGGAAGTGTGTTCAATAATACAACCAAGAGTTTCACAACTTTCATCTTTCTTGTACAATATAAAGAACTATAAATATTTTTAAAAAATCATATCAAAGGCAAGATTGGCTGAACAAGAGTTGCAAACTATCATCTTAATTTTTCTAACTATTCTTCCATCTCATTTTCTCTAGTATCTCAAACCCCAAAATCCACTGAACTCACTGTGACCCCAAACCACTGATCCTATTACACTGTTACTCTATTTTTCTCCTTAAAAACCTCACTTTCCTTCTGACCTCACTTAACCCCTATGGCCAATCATTTTCATCACTGAATTGCACATGCACTCATCTGCCTAGTCCCTCTCATGCTGTTGTACTTGTTGGGTAAAATAAAAATGCTGGTTAAATCGGAGAGTTCATCCATTCCTTTCTTACAACCATGTAGCTGAACTCTGATGGAGAAAAACACCCATCCAATCTGACTGATCTCATTTTACAGACTACGACTGTTAAACAAGCCTTAATGCTGTCAAGTATACTGTACATCTGTAGTCTATTTACTATCCCACTCTCCTGGAAAATTTTTCTGATATTCTTGTATCTCTTCAACCTCACTACTCCCACCCCTATCAGCTAATGATCTGATTCCAACTTCACTAAGAATACTGAAATAATCAGAGTACTTACACAAGCTCACTAGTCACTGGGGACTAGTCTGCCCACCAGGGACTATTCAGCAATGTCTACATTTTTGATAGTCACAACTAGGAGTTGGGGCACCACTGGCATCCAGTAAGTAGAGGCCCCTGGTGCTGCTACACATCTGCAATACCTAGCACAGCCTCCACAACAAGGAACTACCCAATCTAAAGTGCCAACATTGCCAAGGTTGAGAAACTCTGCCAAGTATGAACTATCTGCTGGCCTATGTGAAGACTATCCCTCCACTGGATTCCTTCCCCTCCAGTCTACTCCTGCAAGAATGCCCTCCATTACTTCCCAAGATCAGAGTTGTGCCTTCCACTGAATCATAAAAGAACAAAACAATCTCTACCTAACTGTCATCTTCTACCCTACTTCTCTGCTTCCTTCTGTGAACACTTCCCCGAGGACTTGCCCATGCTCACCATCTCCAGTTCTTCTCTTCCCATTCTCTTGTAAACAACTCCAGTCGGGCTTTTGCTCTCACCATTTCACCAAACCAGCTTCTGTCAAGGCCACCAATGATCTCCACATTACTCACTCTTATGGTTAACCTTCAACTCCTCCTCTTATGTGACCATTAACACCCCACTGATCACTTGCTCCTTCCTGATACACTTTCCTCATCTGGCTCCGCAGATATCACACTCCACATTCTCCTGGTTTTCCTCTTACCTCAATGGACAATCCTCACCCGCTGACTCTCCCTCCTGCCCTGACCTCTTAATGTCAGAATACCAGTACTCAGTCCCCTTCTCTACCTATATGCCCTGCCTCAGAGATCTCATCCAATCTAATAGCTTTAAATTCCATTTATATGTCAATGGTTCCCACAGGTGTCAATATATCTCTAGTCCAGACCTCTCTTCTAAACTCCAGACTAACAAATTCAACTCTCTACTAGGTATTTCTACATGGTTATCACATGTCCAAAACAGAACTTTTGCTCTTCCCTCAAAACCTATTCTTTATCGTTCAGTAGCTGGCAACTCTGTTTTTCCAGTTGTTCAAACCAAAACTCAGGACTTCTCTTGGCTCTTTTTCTTATATCCAAGCTGTCAAGAAATCCTTAGCTTTACCTTAAAAGCATATTCAAAGTCCAACATTTCTCACAATCTCTATCTCACCTGCAGTAGTGAGATAAGCCTCTCAGCTAATGTTCCTACTTCTATCACTGCATGCCTGCAGTTTATTCTCAACCCAGTAGTTAGAATGACTCTTTAAAATATGTCAGGGACTTCCCTCATGGTCCAGTGGTTAAGAATCCACCCTCCAATACAGGGACGTGGGTTTGATCCCTTCAGGGAACTAAGAATCCCACATGCCGTGGGGCAACTAAGCCCATGGGACGTAACTACTGAGCCCACGCATCACAACTAGAGAAGCCCAGACGCCACAGCAGAGAGCCTGTGGGCCACAACTAAGACCTGATGCAGCCAAATAAATAAATGCCTTTTTAAAAAATGAAATATAACTCAGATCATGTCGGTCCTCTGTACAAAATCCCTCAAAGGCTTTTCATCGTTTCACTTAAGAAAAATGCCGCAGGCCTTACAGTAACTGACAGCACCCCACATACTCTGGTCCACAATCCTCTCTGATCTTACCCTCTGTCACTTTCCCCATTGCTCACTCCACCCACAGTGGTCTCCCTGATCTTCTTTAAACACTCTGAGCAAGCGCCCATCTTACGGCCTTTGCACTAGCCATCCTCCCCAAGAGGAGCTACTGATACTCTTCTCTCAGGGAGCGCACAGCCACTCCGTTACCCCCTTCAAGTGTTTAGAAAGGTGCTATCAGGACCACCCTACCACTCTAAGCACCCTATTTAGTAACACATCCCGCCCCCCACTTTATCCCCTTTCTCCATAGCCCTTATCAGCTTCTAACATAGTACAAAATTTATCTATTTATTCATTAAATTGTTCATTATCTGTTTCCTGTACTAAAATGGAAGAAAAAAGTAAGTGAACAGTTATACATATTCATTCAATATCCACTATTTACTATACTTTTGTCCTGTTTCCAAAGGAATTCCCACCAACACTTGGGCTGCATTTCTCCAATCTTCTTCTTTTTCATATATGGATGCAAGATGCTGTCTTATGGAAGCAACCTGGAATAGGAAGTATACGGGTTAAATTATTTCCACTGATATTAGTAACTAATTAAAATAAACAGAATAATTTATCATGACAATGCTCTTATTCAACATATTATGCAGGCAAGTAAATAGTAAAAGTTTACCGAGACTACCCAAATTTCTTTTGTGAAAGAAAAGAAATATCTTTGCAGTCATAAAATACCAAGACACTGAACTAGCACATTTCTGTAATGTGGATTATGGCAATAATTTAAATATTAAGTTCTGCTTTTGTGTCACTGCACATGTAATGCTGGAGTTCTCCTATGCTCTCAGCCTAATTAACAATTTATTGATTTTTAAAAATAATCTAGGGCTTCCCTGGAGGTCTGGTTGTAAAGACTCTGCCTGCCAGTGCAGGGGACACAGGTTTGATCCCTGGATCAGGAAGAATTCCACTTCTTGAGGAGCAACTAAGCCCATGAACCGCAACTACTGAGCCTGTGTGCCTAGAGCCTGCACTCTGCAACAAGAGAAGCCACTGCAGTGAGAAACCTTCATGCCGCAGCTAGAGAGTAGCCCCCGGTCGCCACAATTACAGAAAAGCCTGCACAGCAATGAAGACCCAACACAGCCCCAAATAAATAAATAAATAATTCTCAAACCCAAAATAATCTAAAAAGCAATCTCTGGTTCATAAAAGCAAATTATAGCATATGAGCAAATGTCAACTGGACTTAAAATATCATAATACTTATTTGATCTTATGTTGAAAAATGTTGTTTGGCACACTGTTTTGTAAAAATAAAATTGAATGATTATCACCTTTAAAAATTTAATAGTATCTCTCAAAATAATTGCTGCTATTTCAGGTTTAAAAATCACCACTCTTAATGGCCAATATTTTATAATATTAACTATAAATAGGATATAACCTGTAAAACTTGTGAATCACTATACCATACACCTGAGGCTTATAATAGTATACATCAACAATACTTCCATTTAAAAAAAGAAAACATAATAAACAGATTAAAAATAAAACAAAAATCACTGCTCTAGGTATTTACCTGCTCCTCAAATGAAATGACTCTAGGCTGGATCTTTTCCAAGGTGAAATGATAGATTTCTTTGGCTGTGCTATCAGGCAGGTTAGGGAGATGGGTGCAGAAATCAGTCAGCAACTGGCGAGAGATCACGAGGCTGACATTCTCATTTACCACTTGTTTAAAAAAAAAGTAAAGGATGAGAAAAACATAAGTAATCTGCATGTTCTCATTAAGCAATTTTCACTTAAAATTAATACTAAAATATATTAGTGTACCTTTCAAAGCATTATTTCCCGATCTCCATACTGCTATAACCTTATATTACAGAACCAGTTTTTCTTATTCTAAGTTTTTTAATTACTTAACTGCACCAAAACATTAAAAATACCTAGTGCCACCTGGGAAGCACCTTAAATATCACAACTTTTCTAAGAATCAGAAACGGCTGAGAAAAAGTTAACAGTTGAGAATTTTATGTTATTCCTTTCTCTTCTTTATTTTTCTACAAAGTGAAAGCACAGAAATACCTATATTTTTATTTATATTCTTATATCCCACCTAGCTACAGAAAAAAAAAGTTAAAGAAGAAACATTGAAACACTTTTCATTAAGTTTAAATAAAGTGAATAGAGATTGTTATTGCCACTTGTACCTTACCAACAAAAACAACAAATAAGAACTTAGGTCAGTACTAGGAAATTTCCTGGTGGTCCAGTGATCAGGAAACCATGATTTCACAGGAGTGAAATCACGGCACGGGTTTGATCCCTGTCAGTGAACTAAGATCCATATGCTGAACTAAGATCCTACATGCTGCATGGTGCAGCCAAAAAAGAAAAGAACAAAAAAAATTTAATAAATAGAGGCTCAACAATATAAACAAAAAATAAAGTCAATTTCTACTGTAAAATAAAAGAAGTTAGATCAGCACCAGATGTATGGATGGGTTTCCCTGGTGGCTCAGAGGTAAAGAATCTGCCTGCCAATGCAGAAGACGCAAGTTCAAGCCCTGGGTCGGGAAGATTCCCTGAAGAAGGAAATGGCAACCCACTCCAGTATTCTTGCCTGGAGAATCCCCTGGACAGAGGAGCCTGGAGGGTTACAGTGCATAGGGTTGCAAAGAGTTGAACAGGACTTAGTGACTAAACAACAAGATGTATAAACATATTTTATGCCATTGCTTGTAAACATTTATTCTGTATTATTATATATGATTAAGGATGAAAACTCTGGAGCCACACTGCTTACAAACCCTCCTGATTATATGCCCTTAGGCAAGAGACTTATTTCCCTGTGCTTCTCTTTCTTCTTTTGTGAAGTTAGGTTCACAGAAGAAACCCGTGGAGGAGGATGCTGTGAAATTTCAATGCAATTTACCTAAAGCACTTTAAGCAATACCTGGCACATACCACTCAACAAATGTCAGTTATTATTATCACTCTCATTACATTTTAAAAAGACGCCTCATGTTTGTGAACCACTCCTTAGATAAATTTAGTTTAAATCAGTAGTTACTGAGGAAATAAACAATGGTTCAAAAACTATTCCGCTGATGCAAATGACTGTTAACAGTAGACTGCTTTTTTTTTTTTTGGTGGTTCACTGGATTCAAAGTTTATAAAAAGCACTGCTCTTTTACTACCAAGTGCAATGGTCTTTAAAAAGCTATGAGTTTTTCTGAAACCACTGCCAGTTTGTTTCACATTGCAGGCCCAAGTTATTTGAGGCAGTAACTGACAGGCTGTGTAACTAATCAGTTTACAGTGTATTAATTGGAATTGGATGATACCGGATGTGACAGAGAACAGTTTCATTACAAATGCCATCAGGCACCTATAACTGATAGAAGTCGAGGCTCTGCCACCGGCTAATGAAACGCCCTTGAGGAAAAAAATCCCTTAACCCTGAGACTCATTTTACGATATATTATATAGGCTACTTACACCTACATTGTTAATCACAGGGTCACAAAGCGGAGCCTCTGTGACGCATGTGTGTGAAAGCACCCTATAAGCTATAAGGCACTCTCAAGTTATCATTAATACTGTGAACTCAGAATAAGTCCCAGCCTGAATTCTGAGGAATTTTCAAAATAACTGGGTATGGGAGGAGTATCTTAAAAGAATGGAAATTTCTAGTTCCCATTCAAAAGAAATGTTCTTAACAACAGCTAATACTTATCTAGCACTTATCATATGCCAGGTACTATTGTAAGCACTTTATTATGGGTATTAACTCATTTAACTTCCCAACAATTCTACAGGGTAGTTATCATATCCCCCTTTTATAGATAAGGAAAAGGAGGCATAGAGAGGTTATATAATCTACCCAAGATGACACAGCTAATAAAACAGCAGACCAGGATTTGAATCCAGACTATTCTCTTGTCATTTGCTATACTGCCTCTCATCAGTTATTATATTAATAACTATGCAAAACCATAAATGTAAATGTAAAAACATCTTCACAGTTCATTGAAAAGCAAATATCAAGTGGCATGTAGTTAAAATTCTAAAATCAATCAAGCTCAATACATATTTAATTTGCTCGCAATGTAAATTATATTGACAATTTAATCTAAAACAAGGCTTGAGCAAGCTTTTAAGCCTTAACTTGGTAATACAAGGCAAACATGGAATTTTTACTCCACTTACTTGATTCCACAAAAGCTTTCAAAGCTTCTAGTTGTTCTGCCCCAGATAACTGAATGGCTTTTTCCAGGATCTGACGATACCTAAAATAATACAGAAGAAAAAAAAAATGTGTTTAGAAGTCACCTATATAGACTATGGGCTTCCCAGGTGGCTCACTAGTAAGGAATCTGCCTGCCAATGCAAGAGGTGCAGGACACACAAGTTTGATTCCTGGCTCAGGAAGATCCCCTGGAGGAGGAAATGGCAACCCACTCCAACATTTTTGCCTAAATAATTCCATGGAAAGAGGAGCCTGGAGGGCTGCAGTCCAGGGGGTCACAAACTGAGCAACTGAGCATATAATCTAATACTAACTTTGATATTTATTTCTATTTACCGTGGTTTCTTTCATTGTGCTCTAGTTTGTGGCTTTGTTTATAGTAGTACACTACAGATTTCAGTTTTCAGTCCATCATAAGAAACATTAAATCTATAATTCAAAGTGCCATTTGTAGTTTTCTTTACAGTATACAACAATTTTTAAAGTTTACATGTCCATTACAAAAAGACTAAATCTAAGTTACTGGATCTAAGATGCCACTTTTTCTTTAAAGTTTCAGTTCTGAATTTAAAACATCAATTTTCTTTCAAGTGCCTCGAAAGGTAAGCTACATTTCCTTCACTAATGTACGCACAAGGACATTATTTGAGGTGACCCAGAACCTTTTCCTTATGGCCCTAATGAATATAGGGTTACCAACAACAGGATTATGTTGACTAGTCAATGAAGCCAAATACTAGAGATCAAGTGTCTTAGTGTGTACAAAACACACCCTACCAAGCCAAATGTACTGATTGAACGTCCTTCATCTGTCAGTCAGGGCCCATGAGTTCTCTACTTGCATTCGCTTCTGACAACTATTCTAATATTCATGATCACAAAAATTCAAAGCAGCATTCTAAAAAATGAGGGGGTAATGCTAAAAACAAGAATGATAAGAATTATTAAGCAATAGCAAATTGCTTCCTAACCTGTCAACTCCATCAGGACAAGGATTTTTTATTTCATTTACTGCTATGTGGAGGAGGGCATGGCAACCCACTCCAGTATTCTTGCCTGGAGAATGCCCATGGACAGAGGAGCCTGGCAAGCTATAGTCCATGGGGTCGCAGAGAGTCAACCATGACTGAGCGACTAAGTATAGCACATATAATGCCTAGAACAGTACTTGGCACATCATAAGCACTCAAAGATACAATGGTATTAGGGACATTTTATTTCTTAAATTGAGTGGTTGATATTTAGGTATTATATTGTTCTTTATCCCCTTTGTCTGAATCATAATATTTCTCAGAAGCATTCATTAATGCATTTTAAAAACCTAATTGCAATTATTCAGAACATTATACAGAATACAGTCAAGAAACAGAAATATACAAATAGGGCCCAAATTCTTTCAAATTTATGACTTGTATTTGTAAGGCACATCCTCAAGCTACAGTTCAGCACTCACTGATTCTCATCTGATATTCTCACAAGCTTGGTTGTATGATTTCTCAAAACTGCAATGAATCAAACTGGCTTTGTAAGAAAACAGGTATACTGACAGAAAAGACAGCCAACAGCCAACTCCAAATGAAGAGTCAAACTAGTCCAAGAAAACAAGGAAATATTATCAAGCTTTAAAATAAAAACTGCTACATTTGAGGGACAAAATACAATCATCTAATAATTTATTTAGATGGACTCTCATTTTCAGGAGTTCCCTGGTGGCCTATTAGTTAGGATTCCAGGCTTTCACTGCCATGGTCCAGGTTCAATCCCTGGTCAAGGAACTGAGATTCCCCGCCCCCACAAAAAATTTTATTCTCTCTCTGTATATATACATATACACACTCTCATATGGACATTGATTTTTTTTCCCTATCTACATTTATACATACATTTTATTGCCCTGGGCATGACTTTAGTTAATGCATTCACTGGTTTATGATTTCTTTTTTAGATTAGCTTATTTTTCATATAAATTAAATCAAGACTATGGCTAAACCCTCTTATTCTTAAATCCCAGTTATCTTATACTAATAATATTATATTCAAAGATGACAATGTCTCAAGCAAATTTGGAAAACTCAGCAGCGGCCACAGGACTGGAAAAGGTCAGTTTTCATTCCAATCCTTAAGAAAGGCAATCCCAAAGAATGCTCAAACCAGCACACAATTGTACTCATCTCACACGCTAGTAAGGTAATTTTCAAAATTCTCCAAGCCAGGCTTCAGCAATACGTGAACCGAGGACTTCCAGATGTTCAAGCTGGTTTTGGAAAAGGCAGAGGAACCAGAGATCAAATTGCCAGTATCCACTGGATCATCAAAAAAGCAAGAGTTCCAGAAAAACATCTATTTCTGCTTTATTGACTATGCCAAAGCCTTTGACTATGAGGATCACAATAAACCATGGAAAATTCTGAAAGAGATGGGAATACCAGACCACCTGACCTGCCTCCTGAGAAACCTGTATGCAGGTCAGGAAGCAACAGTTAGAACTGGACATGGAACAACAGACTGGTTCCAAATAGGAAAAGGAGTACATCAAGGCTGTATATTGTCACCCTGCTTATTTAACTTATATGCAGAAAACATCATGAGAAACGCTGGGCTGGAAGAAGCACAAGCTGGGATCAAGATTGCCATAAGAAATATCAATAACCTCAGATATGCAGATGACACCACCCTTATGGCAGAAAGTGAAGAGGAACTAAAAAGCCTCTTGATGAAAGTGAAAGAAGAGAGTGATAAAGTTGGCTTAAAGCTCAACATTCAGAAAACTAAGATCATGGCATCTGGTCCCATCACTTCATGGGAAATAGATGGGGAGACAGTGGAAACAGTGTCAGACTTTATTTTTTTGGGCTCCAAAATCACTGCAGGTGGTGACTGCAGCCATGAAATTAAAAGATGCTTACTCCTCGGAAGGAAAGGTATGACCAACCTAGACAGCATATTAAAAAGCAGAGACATTACTTTGCCAACAAAGGTCCGTCTGGTCAAGGCTATGGTTTTTTCAGTGGTCATGTATGGATGTGAGAGTTGGACTGTGAAGAAAGCTGAGTGCCGAAAAATTGATGCTTTTGAACTATGGTGTTAGAGAAGACTCTTGAGAGTCCCTTGGACTGCAAGGAGATCCAACTGGTTCATCCTAGAGGAGATCAGTCCTGGATGTTCATTGGAAGGACTGATACTGAAGCTGAAACTCCAGTACTTTGGCTACCTCATGCGAAGAGTTGACCTGTTGGAAAAGACCCTGATGCTGGGAGGGATTGGGGACAGGAGGAGGATGAGATGGCTGGATGGCATCACCGACTCGATGGGCATGAGTTTGAGTAAACTCCGGGAGTTTGTGATGGACAGGGAGGCCTGGTGTGCTGAGACTCCTGGGGTTGCAAAGAGTTGGACACGACTGAGTGACTGAATTGAACTGAAATAACTTAAGTTTTAATATACAGTTTCACAACTTATCAATCTACTAATCTATATTGGGAACATAAAAAAAAAATTTTTTTTAAATCTAGAACAATGGAAAAGATGGAAAAATGACTGATGTAGAGTGGTACATGACAAGTACCAAATATTTTTTTCATTAAAAAAATACTATAGAGGAAAAGAAATTTAGTTAATTAAGGCAACCTTGTGTCTGTCCCATTCATTTATCATCAACAAATGTTTATCAAGCATCTATTATACATATTAATTAAAGTTCAGTATGTCAATTTCTGATTTCTTGGCACTTGAAGGGATTTGGAGGTCAATAAAACACATACATGTGCAAATGTACCACAGTCACTATATATGCTCAAAACGAGTGTAAAAGGTATGTATTCACAAATCTTTTTGTTTATAATATTGGTGAACTAGAGATTGGACCAAACTTACCTCCAAAATAACATAGAAAGTTGAAATAAATGAAAAATAAAATTTAAGAGCATAAAATCCTAATAAGAAAGGGTAAACAAAAGAGAGTAAGAGCACAGAGGTTCACAGCTTCTGCCTGAAAGCGTTTGCTGACTGTGGAAGGATGTCTGAGAGGCTGAGAGGCACGTCGGGGGAGAAGGAAGTGGGCTGGCTCTGGGGTGTTCTGCCATCTGCTGGAGACACGGCAAGCTGAGATTTCTGGCCCACTAATAAAACTAAAACAGGGATCTGAGGGTTTTTACCTGCCAGAGGAGGAAACACTAGCACTTTGGAAGTAAGGTTACAAATTCTATTCCAAGGATCATCTAGTAGGAAGACCAGTAAATCTGGAAGCCTTGGCCCTAGACTCCTAACACTGTCAAGTATCTGGCAGAAGGAAATGAAATTCCTCCCTGAAAGGTAATATCATCAGCCTCCACTTGTTTCTAAAAATACATTTAAAAATAATTTGCCCAACAACAAACATTACAAGGCATATGACAATATTAATAATACGCTCAGATGCTCAGGCATGTCCAACTCTTTGTGACCCCACAGACTGCATGCAGCCCACCAGACCCCCCAGTCCATGGGATTTTCCAGGCAAAGATACTGGAGCGGGCTGCCATTTCCTTCTCCAGCAGATCTTCCCGACCCAGGGATCGAACCTAGGTCTCCTGTACTGCAGGCAAATTCTTTACCAACTAAGCCATCAGGGAAACCACTATGACAATATTACCTGGAATCAACAAAAACAACAGACAACAGCAACAAGCAACAAACTCCAGATACTGGTGTCATCAGAAAGACTGAAATACACTTATGCTTATCAAGTTCACAGAGAAAAAGACAAGCTTTTAGAAAGTTTCAGCAAGAAACTAGGAATTATAAAAAGTTCATTTGAAAAAAAAAAAAAAAGAATCACCAAAACTACATAACTAAGAAGTAATGTCACCAAAACGTAAGTTGAGTTCTTCCCAGTGGACTGGACACTCTTGAAGAACTGGTAAACTAGAAAGCAGGTCAGAAGAACTTATCCAGAATAAAGCACTGGAAAGTACAGAAGACAGAGTAAAGGGCAGAGGGGTCACAGTAAGAAGGCCTGACTTGGGTTTCCCTGGGGTCCTAGAGGAGAAAACAGAAAACATT